AACACCTACAGGACACAGGAGACCAGGATGACCAGCTGAGTGGAAAAAAGAAAAACTATGCCTATAATTGACAGCAACACTCTCCTTCAGAGAAGAAGTATATAAAAATTTTCTCAGAAAAACTATATCAGACAGAGTTCCTAATAATAAGATCAGAAAATTCTGTGGAATTCCTGAAGCCTAAAGAAAGTTTGGTCATGAGTTTCCAGGAGTTATGGCTCACACTTTTAATTGCAGGACATGATAGGCAGAAGCAGGAGAATATCGGAATTAATGGGTAGCCTGGTCGACCAAGTAAATTCTAAGATAGGGCAACACAGAGAAACCCTGTGTTGAACAACCAGAAATTAAAAGTTTATCCAATATACGTTGATGCCTGACTCAGCCAAGGGCTGTGTCTAGGACATCTAGGAGAGAGCTGATGGACAGGGTTCAGAGTCCTAATTTCACAATTCAGAAGGCTCACCAACAAGTCACTCACAGAAGCCAACAGCCAAAACCCTGTGATGCCTGCTCTCCTGTTAGAATGAAACCTATCTATTGCAATGGATAGTATCTCAATATTTAAAGATGGACTCACCTGCTTGTGCCAATGTCCTGAGGACTGGGAAGAGGCCTGGAAAGAAAAACTCATGTTGAACTCATCTTGCTTTTCCAGTAGCCTAGTCCTCTGTACATTAGAATCAGAATAAGTTCTATTCTAAAATAAGATGAACTCATGTCCTAATATAAAACATGGAGGCCAGTGTTTCTGCTGTAGCAGATTCCACCTCCCAGGATGATATTTCTACCCTGTTATTGCTCACCATCTATTCCCAGCAGGACTCACCAGTACAGATCAGGTTTAGGAGCACAGACAGCATGGTGCTGCTTTGGCTGACAAGTGGCAGAGCCAGAATAAAACATTTTAAGTGTCGTAAGAGGCTTGAGGCGTCTGCCTGACCACAGCTCGGAAAGCTTAAGAACAGAAACATCCACCCTTGTTGCCACGTTCTTTAATTTTGTGTGTGACAGGGTTCTCTGTAGCCCTGGCTATACTGGAATGCACTTTGTAGACCAAGCTACGTTGGCTTTGAATTAAAAGCCCCACCAGCATCTGCCTCCAAAGTGCTTCGATTAAATGTGTGTGTTCTCATACTAAGTTAAAAAATCTCTTTTCGTCATTGGCTTTGTGGATCATAACTTCTTGGAAATGGTTCAGGCTTTAGCTTTTCAGCAGAAGTATTTACCATGACTACAAGTGAATTGCATCTTGAATCCATCACCTTTATGCAAAATGGTTAAATCTGATTATTGTTCTCAAACTTTTGATGTGTTCTCTTTGCTTTTTAAATTCAAGACTCTTTATCAACAGATGGGAGCAGATGCAGAGATCCACAGCCAAACATTAGGCAGTGCTCCAGGAAGCTCAAATAAGAGGGGGAAGGAAGAATTGTAGGAGCCAAGAAGTCAAAGGCATCACCAGAACATGATCCAAGGATTCAATTAGAATGGATCATGGCCTTCAGTTACAGAGACTGAAGAGTTCATCAGGGAACCTATATGGATATACGATAGTTACTCTGCATAAGTGTTATGGATGTACAGCTTGGTGTTCTTCTTGGACTCCTAGAATTGGGAGTTGGTGCTGTCTCTGATTCTTATACCTACACTTGGAACCCTGTTCCTCTTATATGGTTTCATTGTTCCATGTTGATATAAGCTTATGGGCCTTGGCTTAGTGTTACTTTTTGTTCTTTGCTCTGTTAATATCCCAGGGAGCCTTGCTCTTTTCTGAATATGAAATGAATGTAGGAGAAACTGTGATAGGGATATAATGTATGAGAAAAAAATAAAAAACAATCCTTGTCAATTGTTAGGAGAATAAACACACGGATTCAGCTTTAGAGCTATCATCCAGTGACAAAATAGAAAATATACTATTTGTTTTTCTGGGTCTGGGTTACCTTGGTCAGTATGAGATTTCCTGGTTCTATCTGTGTCAATGTTAATCATTGTCATTTATCTTTGAAGAGTATTCCACAGTGTACATGTGTTAAAATTTCATTATCCATTCATCAGCTGAAGGACATTCAGGTTGTTTCATTGTCCTGGCTTTGAAAATAGAGCAGCAAAGAACATAACTGAACAAGCATTTATTCCATAGGATGTCATGTTCTTTGGATACATTCCAAGGGGTGGAAGGATGTACATATAATAGTTATGTTTGAAATTCTCCATATATTTATTTTACAAAGAAAAACATCTTTCATAAGAGAAAAAAGATGCAATCTACCTA